TCAAGTTTAGTGAAATTTACCTCGGATGTCTTTCATTAAAATCGAAAATCTGGAGATTTAGAACAAATCAAGTCTAAAAAACAGGCATGAAAACTCGTTAAGGTGAGCCAGAAAATAAAATAAGTCTTTTACAGAACGAGACGAAGTTTTCATTCAGATAAACTTGACAAGAACTGAGACAAAATAGAAAATAATGCAAAAGGCAATGCAAAATACAAAATGACGAATTTCTTGTCAGGAAATTGGCGTTTGTAAATGTTTTTGAATATTTTTTAGCTTTTTAAAGAGAAAGACAAGGTCTTTATATAATAATATCTCTCAACAACAAAAATTTTAGATCATTTTTATAATCATACTTGTTCGAACAGCTTATTAAACAGTTGAATATTTGGTGTAAATTTATAGCTCATTCAATAATTAAATAAATTATCCGTGGAAAGGTATAAAATTATTGAATGAATGTCTTCTTTGTTTTGCCGATGGGACCCCGCGATAGGAGGCGAACAAAGCTGCATTTTTCTTGAACGAAAAGCATACGATAGTTGGTTTAAAGACAACCGAATTGTTAAACATTTACAAAACTAAATAAAGGACGAATATTTGTTGTCGTGATTTACTCTCCGTGTTATATTTCCTCCAGCATTAAAATCAATTTAGCTTATCTATAGAAATATAAAAAGGTTTGAGAGAAAGTCTTTGACTTGTCGATTTGTCGAGAAAAATGCTTATCAAAAAAAAAAAAAAAAAAAAAAAATACTAAAAAAAAAACAAAAAAATTTTATTTTTAAATACTTTTGTTTGTCGCGCTGTAAGGTCTCTGAGACAGAATACATGGATGGCATCACAGAAACAAAAAAAACAAACAAAAAAAAACAAAACGATTGTTTGCTTAAAAACACACACCTGAATTCTTGAAGAACACTTCTTGATCCATCTTTGACTTACATGAATATTTTTTAAAACTTGTTTTTGGTCTACAACTTGTCCTAAAGCGATTTTTTCTGTGCATTTGAGAGCCGCATTAGTGAGTAGTTTTGCTTTGACATCAAGCGGGATTCCTGTGTTGTGTACACGGACGGACGGACGGAAGTGACGTCAGCCAAGCCATGAAAAATCAATTCGATGGTTTACCATTTTTTCTTAGGTATGGTGCTCCACTCGCACAGGCCTTTGGCCCGCGCGGGAGCTGCGCTATTATTTGCACCGCTATTGGTAGTACTTGTAAAATGACGCCATCATGCAAAGGGCATATAAGCAATACTTTCTACTTCACTGAGCATCGGAGGAATCAATATATCAAACAATAAATATTGAGCTATTTTGTACTATTTTGTGCAAATCAACTTAGTACTATTCATGTGATTAAGTGAGAGCCCTCTAGTAAATGATTTTGATTGGCTCAAACATTTTCGTTATTGAAAATGATTGAAAAAGGGTTGCCTAAATCTCCCCCTCGTCCCCATTTTCCTCGAGCTCCATCGCCCGGCTTTGGTACTTCCAACATGTCAAGTAAGGGTTTAACTTTTGATTTCACGAGTGTCAACGTTCTCTGTGACATAGGGATCACATCTTCCAGATTTAATAAGCGAACAAGATGCTCTAAACATCTGGTGAAAATGCACTATCGAAGTGCACACATGAACGCTAATCACTGCTAGTGTTAGGGCGTCGACGAACAGATTTGGACAGCGCAACCATGAAGTGAGACACAATGCTTTAACTTCTAATCCGTTCACGTGTACTCAGAGTAACAAAAAGTTTTTCTTTCGAAAACACTGACGATAGAAATCAATTAATTCTAAGGCCGGAACGTTTTATACTAATTTATTGTGTGCGTGGCTGAAGTAGACGTACCGGTATTTTCTATAGATGAACCAAGACCATCTGCTTCACTTGACGAGGATTCTTGAGAATTCTCTGTTCTTGCACCATCAAAATCCTCCTCAGGGATGACAGAAGTCACCGGTACAAAAAATGCATACCCTTCTCTACAAACAAATCGTTGTCTTTCTTTGAACTCTCCAGTTCCCTTTCCTTTTTTACGATCCTTTATGAAACAATAAAAACAATATCAAGCAAGGCCGGTGAAAGCTTTGAGTAGAATGCGGATTATTTTATTATTATTGTTCAAATCAAAATCAAAATGATCATGAGTAAAATCACACTTACAAGTTCTATTCCAACAGGACAATCACCATGACTGTCTACTCGTTTAGATATGTACCGCACGGTCCCCCTCAGTGGCACTTTATCATCATCAWTCTCTGGAAATACGACAACTCTCTGGTCAATTTTTAACTTATGTCCTATTGCCATGTTTCTAACTGCAGAAGTATCTTTGCTTGAAAATGATGGTATCATATACTTTAAGGTAGAGAATATTGTTGTTTCTTTCTGAGGAGGCTTATCTTGTTCTTGCCGAGGACGTAGTGCATCTACTGCAACAAAAACACCACGGTCTGCCGGGCAAGCGAAAAATGTTTTGTTTCTAAATGTACCATCACATGTGCCCTGTCCTTCAGATTCCTAAGAGATACGAACAGTTAAAAGAAATTATTTAAGAGATATAGTTGATGTGGTTTGAAGAGGAGTAAA